TGAGAATAAAGCTCTCAAAGTCACATTGACTTTTTAGCAGGAAAAAACTTTGAAAGACTACTGATTTTTTTAATGCATTTTTCTTGTACTTGTTATATTGAGCATGAGGATGAGTGTGGCTGAGGATCTTCTCTTCATTTATCAATCCTTGCTAAATGTCACTCGAAAGATACGATTCATCGTGCTCTTTCGAGTATTCGTGGAAGCTTTTTAATTTTCCATTGGACATGCGTTCATATGAATTGCGATTTTTCTATGTAAACTACACCAACGTATGAGGTTGAGTTGATGATAGAAAAATCATTTGAATATTTATGTTCAATTTCTTTAATATTCTTTCAGTTTTAGTTTTTATTAAACAATTTTGACGTTTCAAGTTCAATGATATCGTCGTCAAACAATACCAAGATGTGTATATGTTTAACACAGTAATAAATAGGTCAGCTTTTGTTTCTTGGACGAAATTAATTAACCATATTTTTGTGTAGTCATCTGTTGCTACTCTTCATATCAGTACTAGAATAAATCTCTGAGACAATTGTTATTGGATTATTTCGTACTAGAAGAGAATTTAGAAACTGGACAGAATAAAAGTCTGTTTACAACGTTTCATTCAACTCAAACTCAATGTGAGAAGAAAAAGAATGAATGTATTGCAATGAGATGATATGCAACACAAGCAACACAGATAAGAACCAGCAAGAACAAATAATTACAGAGATAACGCAAGAATACGTGATAGAATACGAATGTGGAGCATTTAAACCACTCATAAAAACATGCATTTGAAAAATAATCATATTGCAAAGAGAACAGTGTATTAGTAGTTGTGGCACACTTAATCTCAAAGCAAGGCAAGCTTGTATCCAAATCAATTCAGGGGAGTATATTATAAAAACAAGATACTTCGTTGACTTGACTGAGAATATTTCGATTCTAGAACTGCACAAAAAGTTGTGATTCTTTTTTTTTTGTTGAATAATCTGTTCTTATCATATAAAAAACGTATCTCTAACGATTTCGTACTTGATGCTTTTTCTTCAGGTTATTTCGTACAGATGTAACGTGGAAAAAAAAGAATGCAAAAAGAACGACATACAATATCGAATAGTTGCATTCATTTTTTCTTTTTGATTCTCCACTGCATATAAATGTATACATGTGCAATTATATTTACTATTCTCGAAAATCCTTCGACTTCAACAACGTGGCCCTGTAGACATCTATTATTATACTGATATCGCTCGACTGAGTTAGTTTGTTGCACTTTTCAGTGTACGTTAACCCTTTACCCCCCATAGCGGTTCCAGAAGAGCCACCGATGAAATAACTTTATGAATAGAGTATTAGCCTGTCAAATATGCCAATGGTGTGACCTAATCCACCGAATGCCCTGTTCCTGGAGTAGGGCGGTTTGACTGATGTAAAAATCATGTGGTGAAAAATGGGAATTGAACAGTATCATAAGACTTAATTCTTTTTCTTTGACCACATTATTGACTGGACAGAAGCAGGATCTATCTCATACTGTTGAAGTGATAGGAAAAACGCAACGAGTAAACCTATAAAATTAA